TATTATATATATATATTATATATATATATATATATATATATATATATATATATATATATATATATATATATATATATATATATATGTAATGTATGTGTGTATGTGTGTGTGTGTGTGTGTGTGCGTGTGTGTGTGTGTGTGTGTGTGTGTGTGTGTGTTGTGTGTGTGTGTGTGTGTGTGTGTGTGTGTGTGTGTGTGTGTGTGTGTGTGTGTGTGTGTATGTATGTGTGTGTGTGTGTGTGTATGTATATACATATCATGAAAAAGGACTAAATGCTAACTTCAGCGTTCAGCCAGCTTCCAGTGCAAAGGAAATCAGCCAAGAATCCCCCCCCCCCTTCCACCCCCCTACCACCCCCATCCCTTTCTCCAGCTTGCCTCTTCTTCAGATTCCTCCCTCCCTTTCTGCCTCTCTCTCCTACCATTCTTCTTCTATCCATTCTTTCTCTCTCCTTCTCATCTCTCTCTCTCTCTCTCTCTCTCTCTCTCTCTCTCTCTCTCTCTCTCTCTTCTCTCTCTCTCTCTCTCTCTCTCTCCTCTCCTCTCTCTCTCTCTCTCTCTCTCTCTCTCTCTCTCTCTCTCTCTCTCTCTCTCTCTCTCTCTCTCTCTCTCTCTCTCTCTCTCTCTCTCTCTCTCTCTCACTCCCTCCCTCCTCCTCTCTCCTCTCTCTCCAAATCACTCCACCCTTTCTTCCCTCCGACCTCCCTCTCCTTCAAACCCCACGACCGCCTCCCCTGCGCATCCCCGCAGCCTCCTTTCTCAAGATCATCTCCCGGGTGACCTTGGCATCTCTTCTCAGAAAGGTCAGCATCACCCTAGCGCTGCTCAATGGGAGAAATTTATCATAAGGTATAATTATTTCTGCCAAGCCTGACTGACCCGTCTCAGGTTTGCAGTCAGTGCGTTGCCCGTTTTCTTTCCGTTTTCTTTTTGGTTTGAATGGGGAAACTCGTGTATTTATTTTGGATGGTGTAGGTGTGCGAGGGAGGTGGGGAAGGAGGGGGAGGAGGGGGAGGGAGGAATCAGGAATGAGGGGAGAGAGAGAAAGGGAAATGAATAGGGGGAGAGTAGGAGACAAAAAGACAGAGACAGAAACAGAGACACATTTACATACATACAAAGAGAGATGGGGGAGGGGACGAGACTGAAAGAGAAAATGGGAAAGACGGAGGTGATAAGAGGGTGAAGGAGAGAGAGAGAGAGAGAGGAAGAGAACACTTGGCAGGCAGTTTTATTACACTGCCTTTCAACTAAACATGTAAATTAGAATGCTAAATATAGAAACCTGTGGAGCTATTTTTTTTTTTTTTTTTTTTTTATCCCAGGTGAGGTAATTTTAATTCGTCGATTCAGCTTTCAGTAATACGTTAATTTCTGCAATGTGACAACTTCCATACAGGAAAACATTATATTCAAAAGGACATTTTAAAAGGAACATTATTTATGCTTCTCTTACTAGGCAACAAGACTATTTCACAAGCCTTAAAAAAAAGAGAGAAATATGATACTGAATCAATCCTTTCTTCCGAGAATAACAGCCTTTCACTAATAGCCGAGCCATTTCCTTCCAAACACACGCACACCCCTTTTTGCCCACCTCACCCCTCCCTCCCCTCCCTACCCCTCCCTACCCCACCCTACCCTCCCTACTCCACCTCAACCCTCCCTACCCACACCCTACCCCACCTACCCCTACCACCTACCCCCCCCCTCCTACCCCACCCCTACCACCACACCCCCCTACCCCCTCCTACCCCCATCCTACCCTCTCCTACCCCACCCACCCTACCCCTCCCTACCCCAACCCCTACCCTACCCCTACCCCAACTACTGCCGTGCCCAATGCCCTGAAAATTCGCCAAAGACTGACTGACTCCAAGGGCATGACCCTCCGAGGACAAGCGCCTTCTGGAATACCCACCGCCTTCGCTCGCTGTACTCGGAACGGCGCCGCGCACTTCTTGAAAGCGGCAGGAGGCTGCGATCGGGAGGAGGAAGAGGAGGTGGAGAGGGTGGGGAGGTGGAGGTGGGGTGGAGGTGGGGAGGTGGAGAAGGGGGTGACGGAGGGTGGAGGTGAGGAGGGGAGAAGGTGGAGAAGGGAGGACGGGGGAGAGGAGGTGGAGAGAGGGGAGGGAAGAGGAGAGGAGGTGGGGAGGGGAGAGGAGGTGGAGAAGGGGGACGGGGGGATGTCGAGAGGGGTGTGGAAGAGGAGGTGGAGAGAGGGGAATGGGGGGGAGGAATAGGAGGTGGAGATGAAGAGGAGATGGAGGTGGAGAGGGGGGAGGAAGAGGAGATGGAGGTGGGGGGGGAGAGGAGGTGGAAGGAGGGAACAGGGGGGGGAGGGGGTGGAGAGGAGGGAACGGGGGGGGAGGTGGAGGTGGAGAAGGAGGGAACAGGGGGGGGAGGTGGAGGTGGAGAGGAGGGAGGAAGAGAAAGTGGAGGTAGAGAGGAGATGGAGGTGGAGGGGGGGAGGAGAAGGTGGAGATGGAGATTAGAGGAAGAGGAGGTGGAGAGGGAGGAGGAGGACGACTATGACGATTTGTACTGAGAGGAGTAGGAGGAAGATGTAATGCAAGGGGAAGAGGGAAAGGAGGTGGAAGTACAGGTGATGGAGAAATAGATGGAGATGGTGGAAGTGGGGATAGGTAGAAGTGGTGGTGAAGGTGGTGATATTGGAGATAGAGATAGAGATGGAAGTGGAAGAAGGAGGTACTGGTGGTGGAGGTACAGATGGAGATGGAGATGGTGGAGGTGATATGGTAGAGGTGGAGGTAGTATGGTTGACGAGGAAGTGAGAGATGATGATGATGGAGGTGATATGGTGAGATGATGATGGTGATGGTGATATGGCAGAGGTGGAGGTAGTATGGTTGACGAGGAAACGGTAGTGGAGGAAGAAGAGATGATGATGATGGAGGTGATATGCTACAGGTGGAGATAGTCGACGAGGAAACGGTAGTAGAGGAAGAAGAGATAAAGATGATGGAGGTGACATGGTACAGGTGAAGATGACGAGGAAACGATAGTAGAGGAAGAAAAGACGATGATGATGGAGGTGACATGGTACAAGTGGAGATAGTCGACGAGGAAACGGCAGCGGAGGAAGAAAAATAACCATGACAGTAACAGGACATTCTCCGAAACTAAATCTATGTCAGATAAAAAAAAAAAAAGAAAAAAAAAAGAAAACATCAGTAGACGTCCTTAACCCCCATGGCGTCGTGGATCTTCCGAAGTGATGCTAGCTTCACTTACATCACCAAACAGCTTCCCTTGCGGTGACGTCGGCTCTTGCATCAGCTTCCGGTGTGACGTGCAATGGAGGGATTCTCGCCCTCGTAAATGGGACACGGACGAGCAAGCAAGCAAGCAAGAAGGAAAAAACAAACAAACAAAACAAGGGGACAAAGGACGAGAGAAATAAAGCAAATTGGACAGGGAAGAGAAGGGGAGAAATAGACCCAAACTAGTAAGGAAAATATGAAATAAACAAGAGATATAAAGCAAAACAGTACGGAAAAAATGGGAAATAAACAAGGGACATAAAGAATATGAAAGAGAAGATAAGAAATAAAGCAAACGAACAAAAAAGAAATAAAGCAAATTTATCAGAAAAAAAAGAGAAAGAAAGCAAGTAATCGGAGAGATACGGGAGAGATCGATGCATATAGGGAGAGAGAGAGAGAGAGGGAGACAGGCAGACAGACAGTAATAGGAAAAGTGAAAGAGAGAGAGAGGGAGTGGGAGAGAGAGAGGGAGTGGGAGAGAGAGAGGGGGGTAGGAGAGGGTGAAAGAGATGAGAGAGAGAAAAACACAGTAATAGGGAAAGGGAAAGAGAGAGGAGGGAGGGAGGGAGTAGGCAAAATGAGTGAGAGACAGTAATAGTGAAAGGGAAAGGGAAAGAGAATGAGAGTGAGTAAAAGAGAGAGAGGGGGAGTGGGAGAGAGTGAAAGAGAGAGGGAAGGGAGAGAGGGAGGGAGAGTGAGAGAAGAGGGGGGAAGGGGAAAGGAGGGAGTGAGTGAGTGGGACAGAGTGAAAGAGAGGGAGTGGGAGGGAGGGAAAGAGAGAGGGGGGTGGGAAGAGGGTGACAGAGATGAGAGAGAGAGAGAAACAGTAATAGGGAAAGGGAAAAGAGAGAGAGGGGGGGGGAGAGGGAGGGAGAAGAGAGAGAGAGAGGGAGTGGAAGAGAGTGAAGAGAGATAGAAAAGAGAGGGAAAGAGAAAGAGAGAGAGGGAGTGGGAGAGAGTGAAAGAGAGAGGGAGAGAGTGAAAGACTGAGAGAGAAAACTATTGTTTACTTTTTCGCAGAAAGGTTCGCTAAAGGTTCTTTGCCCGCGGATTAATCGCGGAGGGAAGGCGAAACAGTTAGGACAAGCTTAAAAAAAAGGAAAAGGGGGGGTGAAGGGTAGACAGAAGAACGGATAACACGCACATCCAGACGAGGAAATGCAGAACCAGGAAAATGGAAATGGCGGGAGTGAAGTACAGCTAAATGAGGAAATGTTTTATCCGCTATCAATTGTACTCGCACACCCCCGCTAGCACACCGGAGGCACATCTAGCCGTCAAAACAAGGTCTTTGGGCGACGCGGGCCATGCTGGTTCGCCCCGGCACCCAAGACAAGGTCAGCACCGATGGACCCCTCTCTCCTCCTCCCCCCCTCCTACCACCCCTACGTGACCCCAAACACCACCTAACCCGCCTCCTCCTCCTCTTCCCAACCCCATCCCCATCCCTGTTCTTCCATAACCTCCCCTTCCCCCCCTCTACGCTCTCCCTCTCTTCCCTCTCCACACCCTTCGCACTTCCCCGCCCCTTCCCCCCATCTCTCCCCCCCTGCCACTCCCCCATTGGCCCCTGTGGTAGGCCGTTGACGTCACGCTCTAGGTCGACAAGTGTTAACCTTGCGGGACACTACATATACTTGGCGTAGGTTAAAACAAGGCATGAAACGATCACTGGAGCGTTTGCCGTGCACATCTCTCCCTCTTTCTCTCGGAATATAAAAAATACTTTGCTTGTTCGACTTGTATATCTAGTGTTTCTGTTTATAAGAGAGAGACACAGTTACCTCTTCGTATCTAGTAAATAAAGTCACAACAGAGGGTATTCCGTTAAGTTAATTTTTTAACTCTACGAAACGATCGAGAGAGTTTTTTTTTTCCAAACTATTAACAAACGCTTGTTTAACTACTACCGGTTCGTTAACTGCCAAGATGCGTGTGTTTGCCCTTGTTTTGGTCTTCGTTGGTGTGGTGGCGCCAGGCATCGCTTCGATAAATAGTAAGTATTTTCGAGTTTGTCTTTGTCTGTGTCTGTCTCACTCACTCATTCTGTATCTCAGTCTATGTCTCTCCGTCTGTATCTCTGCCTATCTATGTCTCTCTCTCAGTCTGTATCTCTGCCTATCTATGTCTCTCTCTCAGTCTGTATCTCTGCCTGTCTATGTCCCTCTCAGTCTGTATCTCTGCCTATGTCTCTCATTCTGTCTATATGTCTCTTTCTGTATCTCTCTCATCTAAACACGGATTGTTTTTAGTTTATCTTGATCTATAGCGAGGATTGTGTGCGTCGAATATAGGGATTTGTCATCAAGACTTGGGTTATTTACATTTCAATTTCATACATTTGCGATTCAGGTCGTGATTTTAGGTCAAAGACAGCCTTCACTGACGCTACACTGTGTTTTAGGAAAGGTTTGTCCCCTTCTTCCACTAAAAAGTTTAGGGTTTTATTTAATAAGCCCAGCTATTAGACGTTTTTAAAAGCTGATAACTAAGAATTAATGTCACATAAATCAATGTCCTTTTCCATGTTCTGTTCATTTGTTATAAGATCCAGTAATTTAAATCCTCAGTGTAGAATTCAAAAGAAAAAAAAGGTTTGAAAATGGAGAAGTATAACCATAAAATGCATTAAAAAATTTATTAAATCCCTTTTCACTGGTATAAAGGTAACGCACTTGTATGGTAATTAAGCCTATTTATAATATTTATCTAAGTAGACTCGCTTTATATTCTTGGTCAATTTAAATGTTTAGCCCCAAGATCAAAGACTTTTAAAAAAGCCTCAGTCTTCATTTATTTAAAACATTCCCGTAACTACAGTCAACACAAGTAATATCAGATTAAAATTTTCAAGAGATATATTACACATGATAAAAAATACATACAAAGTGTTCACATGCAGCACAGATAGTCACGTGACGTAACAGAAGTAGCATTTGATAGTGGAAGTGTTTCAAGAAGGGTTTTAACGTGGCAGGAAGTTCAGTAAGGGCACTGGGGTGGTTCTGAGTGTACTGGAGACATTCTAGGTGGTTCAGGCGGGACTGCAGAGGAGCTATGCGGTCCTGGTAACGCTGCAGCGACATAAGACGGCTTTGGTAGCACTGCAGAGACATTAGGCGGTTCTGGTAGCACTCCCGATGTATTGGGAGGTTCTGATAGCACTAAAGGGTGGTTCTAATAGCACTGCAGAGGAGCTAAGACGGTTCTGGTAACACTGCCGAGACACTGAGTGGTTCCGGTTAGCACTGCAGAGGAACTAAGCTTAGGTTCTGGTTAGCACTGCCGAGGAACTAAGCTTAGGTTCTGGTTAGCACTGCCGAGGAACTAAGCTTAGGTTCTGGTTAGCACTGCAGAGGAACTAAGCTTAGGTTCTGGTTAGCACTGCAGAGGAACTAAGCTTAGGTTCTGGTTAGCACTGCCGAGGAACTAAGCTTAGGTTCTGGTTAGCACTGCAGAGGAACTAGCTTAGGTTCTGGTAGCAAAACTCGTTAGTTCTGGTGCACTGTTTGCGAGCTGCAGTGATGGGAAGAACGAGGTCCTATTCCAGCTCATTCGTCTCGGTGACTCCTAGCTCCCGGTAGGGTCGAGCGCCGCATCTCGAGGAGGGGGAGAAACGTAGGGTTTTTAAAATGCATTAATTCATGTATTGAAAGATATAGGAGATTAGTAAGATATACTCACGGAATAGAGAGATTAGTAGAACAATATAGTATAGACATCTAATGCAATTACTATTACGAATGCCAATGCCACTTCATCTAACATCCCTTAACTAAACAGAGAAAACATACAACCACAAACAACAACAAACATCCCTAATCTCCACAGACACGTCTATTAACCACACATCCCACATAACTGCATTCCTAATAACCACACACAACCATAAACACTTCTAATATCCACACACAACCACACACTCCTAATATCCACACACAACCACAAACACAATCCACACACAACCACCCCAAATATCCACACACAACCACCCCTAACAATCACACACAACCACCCAACCACACAACCCACCCCTAACACCAACATATCCACCACACACAACCACAAACCACCCCTAACGTCCAAAAACACACACAACCACTTAACACCCCCCCCCCCCCCACCCCACCCCCCGTGCACAAAAAGAGTGACTCATCAGCCGACCGCAATATCCCCCCCCCCCATCCTCACACGGGGTCGTTCATCTGAGGCCAAGATCAAGGTGACAGAATTCCTGGAGTGAGAGGAGGAAACCCGGGCGATGTGTTCTTTTTCACGGTCGACCCTCAAACCGGAAGGATGCTGGGGTTTCGTTATCAGGGTCAGCGCGGCACCTGGTCTCTGTTGTGTGTGTGGGGGGGGGTGGGGGGTGGTGTGTGTGTGTGTGTGTGTGTGTGTGTGGGGGGGGGTGTGTGGTGTGGGGGGGGGGGTGTGTGTGTTGTGGTGTGTTGTGGTGTGTGGTGTGTGTGTGTGTGTGTGTGTGTGTGGTGGTGGGTGGGGTGTGTGTGTGGGTGTTGGGGAGTGTGTGGGTGTCCTGTCGTGTGTGTGTGTGCGGTGTGTGTGTGTGTGTGTGATGTGTTGTGTGTGTGGTGTCTGGGTCCCTTTTCCCTTATAAATGGTGTTCCTGGCGTTGTTGTGTGTGTGAGAAGGTCTGTGCATGCTTTGCTAATGTATTTACACATGCATATACTTACATATGCATGTGCATGTACGCTCGTTCACGCACGTTACATATACATACAAACCACATTTACACATACATACACACGCACGATCGCATACACACATGTACGCACGTACACACAATGT